GGAACCACCACGTGATCCTCCACTCAGCAACACACACTCACACCGAGGGGGAGCCACCACGTGATCCTCCACTCAGCAACACACACTCACACCGAGGGGGAGCCACCACACGATCCTCCACTCAGCAGCACACACACTCACACCGATGGGGAGCCACCACGTGATCCTCCACTCGGCAACACACAAACACCGAGGGGGAGCCACCACCTGATCCTCCAAGATGTTTCCTCAGCCTTTTGAGATGTGATTTTCTGATACCGAACAGCGCATATTATTAACGTCTGCCGCCACACAAACTCACAATTTTCGTTTTTTGGTGGAAAGTTTTCTCGGAATCCAATTTAAAAGTTGGAGTACCTGATCCCATGCGAATTTTAACTTTACAATGTACAGAGATAGATAAATAGATAGATAGATAGATAGATAGATAGATAGACGAGCATAATCATAAATATAGACAATATCGGATAAACCTAACTTTAGTAATTTATTCTCCCCTAACTCCCTTGTTGTATGTTTATTACACTGGCTCATCACAAACTACTTGGCCGGGCTCTAAGATCCTTATAAGGCCATTAACGCACCGTGACTATGCTTGTGAAATGTGTGTGCTCCGTAACTGTTCTTCAATAAAAAAATAACAGCATTCTTATTATTAGTAGTAGTAATATTAGTAATAGTAGTAGTATTTTTCTATCATTTCCATTATTATTATATTCCTATTCTCATTATGATTGACGTTATCATTCTTATCTATGTTTTTATTTTAGCCATATATCCAACTTTTTCTTATCGTAAAAAAAAAAAAATTGACAGACGTCCTTTAAGAGACTGACATCGAATTTTTAAATACTGTCAGGCTGTCGTGGGTTAAACGTGCTGGTATGTACGTAGAGTAAGCGACATTTACAATTAGGCAAGAACAACTCACCTTTACGTTTTACTGTATATATTAGGTTGAGATTGGTTCTCTGTTCTTGAAAACTAAATTAAAAACAACAAAACAACAACACGAAGCAATTACGACAAAAAGATAACATACAACAAAAAAAGAACAACACTATCAAAAGCAACAAACAACATCAACAAAAACAACACACAACAACAAATGAAAATAACAAAAACAGGAACAACAAACAATAACAATATCATAATTCTGGTTCCATAATCTAGATACGAATATAATAGTATTAACGTAAACAACAATTACTACCCAATTTTCTTTAACGTTGTCCTTCACTTTCGAGTAGTGAGGATATATTAAGAGACACCTGACACTCGTTTTATTTATTTTTACCTAAAAGTTGACGAAGATTAGAATTAAGATTGAAGTACAGTATCTAAAGGGTCTATTTGATTTATTTATTAACAGGTGAACAACACGTTTCTTTTAGCGCCTTCGACACAAACACTTAATATCCTCTTATGTGTAATTTAAATTAAGTTAATGTGAGACGTAAAGTAGTTCACAAGGTACTTAAAGATTCTCTCTCCGCCATTAGTTATTTTTATTTATATGCTAATGCTCAACCTAATACTGAGGACTATAGATAGACGCGGTCACCTCTGAGCAGCCTGTGGAGAAGTAAGGAAAAAATATTGGATTTTCTTTTATTGGTGGAAATATATTCTTTTAAAAGTTCTTGTTTTTTTGTTTGTTTTTTTACTCCTCTCACTTGTTTGCTCTGACTCCCTTCGTATCGGATTTATTCTTGTGTATTACATTACCGAAAAATACTTAGTAAATATTACAGTACATTATGTAGTATATACACAAATGTAATGGTTGTGTGCTTATGTTTGTACCTCGTGGCCGTCAGATGTGTTCTTCATAACTTATTGAAATGATTTTACTTTATTCTCAGGTTTTTATTAGAATTTACCAAATCTTATTCAAATAAAATATTCTACAATTTACAATAAGAAATAATTTCTATTTACATCTTGCGGTGACCAGATAACTTCATCCACCCCAACTGATTTTCTGTAACATTTATGTCACTTTCTGTTAACGTCAAAATTTATCACCGTAAAGATCTTGAGCCCAACCTGACGACTCACCTGCAGGAGTTGTATGACCAGGGACAAGACATTTCCACAGACGTACAGTCTTGTTGAAGATTCTTCGAACACTGCTGGAGACAGCTGGCAACTTATGGCCGTTTGTAATAAAAATTATGAATGACTGTAAAAGTGATCGGTGATTGGTTACTTAGTTCCCCGTTGCTTAATTAATGGTTGGGCTTTGTTGTTTCGTATTATATTACAACAAACGGCCTTGAGTTGCCAGTTGTCTCCAGCAGTGTTCGAAGAATCTTGAACGAGACGGTACATGTACTGTAAATACTAACCAACTGCTACATATCGGCTTTGCTCTGATTGTTCACCTCAGCCCAGATAGGGACAAAGCACTCCATCGGTTTGTTTGTTTTTGTTACAAAGAATAATATGATTTATTTTTTTTAATTCAGTGATAGTTTAAAGTGTTAAGTAATTTTGTGTATTTTTAGTATCACGTATTATCCAAACAGACTGCCGTGACAATTAATATTAATAATTTTTTTTTTAATTTTTGTATTTATTTATGGCTCTTTATTATTATTATTAATATTATTTTCCTTTATTGTTATTTATTATTGATATTATTACTCTTATTACTATTATCATCATCATCATCATCATCATCATCATCATCATCATCATCACCATCATCATCATCATCATCACCATCATCATCATCATCATCATCATCATCATCATCATCTATCATCATCATCATCATCATCATCATCATCATCATCATCATCATCATCATCATCACTACCATCATCATCATCATCATCTCATCATCATCATATCATCATTATTATTATTATTATTATTATTATTATTTATATTATTATTATTGTATTTTGCCCCAGGCCTTGATGTAAAAATAAAAATGACTTGGGCTAATGCCCGTAAAAAAAAAAATTGTATTTGAGTGTCCGAACAAAACTATGGATTATCCAAAATGCAAAGTTTTGTAAAAGTTATGCAAAAAAATAAAAACTTCTACAATTATTGACCTAAACTTAACATTAACAACCCCATTTTTATTTTTCCCATAAGGAACAACTTTCATACACTTCACGTGGACTTCAGATGTCTTCCTCCTACTCACACTACAATTATGCAACATTTTTTGCTAACATTTGCAAGAATTTTCTTACTTATACTGTATTCCTCTTTTCAACGACATTGTAACTTTTGGGGGGGGGGAGGAAGGGGGGCGGGGGGAGACTCTCGGGGCTTTCTTTCCTCCCTCATCTAAACCTTAATATTTCTTAAAGGGATTCCATGTAGTGGTGAAGATGGTACAGGCATACTGGTACTGAATTAATGGTGTGCAAATTCGAAATAATAATAATAATAATAATAATAATAATAATAATAACGTGTAGGAAGTATAAGGGATAAGGGAAGATGGCATGAGTGGCCTCCCTTATAAACCCCTAAGCGGCACCACTAACCTAATGTACTTCTAATAGCATAAATGACCCACTTTAACTACTACTGAGATAGATGGCCTTCTTTATTGACCTGTTAATCGGATAAATGACCTCTACTGGCCCATCAGTCTAATAAATAACCTGTTACAGTGAGTCTATAGTGGGATTAGAAGCCTTTTATCACTCTATTCAATGCCATAGAGAGAGAGCTCCTTTTCAAGCTGTTTTTTGTTCTTTTTAATGGCATACGTGACCCCTATACCATCGTGACCAGTAACTTTCTCCACTGTGTATTTTATCACCCAAACACGTACAGTAAATTACCAATCTACAAACTTTCAACCGGTTACTACTGGATCTTTGTCGATTAGTTATCAAACACCTATCTACTGTACTGTATAGAAAGATGTTTTACGAGTGTCCGCCATTAGTTTATGTTCTTTGTATATAAAATTCGTTGTTTCGGATGGTGTGTGGGTTACATATCGAACGATGGCTGGCAACGCAACCCTCACAGTCAGAAACACCTTCCATGCATCTCTCTCTCCACTTACCACGGCACTATCTCTCCCACTACACTTCCCTTCCTAACCTCCTGCTCCTTCCTCCGTCATCTTCCCCGCTCTGCCTTTCGCTACCAACAACTTTTGGAGCTTCTAAACTTGGAAAACCAAACCTGCTATTAATATTTTCACACTGCAACATGAAGTCGGTGGTAAGTTGTGACTACTCTCATTGGCTCTAAGTGTTTTGAAATAATCCTACGTTACATCTTTCTTCACTCTCTTTGCCTGGGTTAGTAGTCTAATATCGGCGTCATTTCAGGGCCATTTTCGTTGTCCCTCGTAAATTCTCTCCCTGTTTATGTAAGACGAATTAGGTAAGGTCCTATGTATCCCCAGGTTAATGAGCAAAAGTTTCAGTGTACTGTATCTACCTAAACCATCAAATGAGGCTTTTATACCATAGCAGTAAGATTTAACCCCTTGAGTACGGTGAAATAATTAAGTAAAAGTATTTTGTCCCCTTGAGTACGATTCAACCTCCGAGTACAATGAGATAACTTATTACGTCAAATATTTTTATTCCTGAGTACAGTGTCAATCTCCAGAGTAGGATGAATTAAACCATGTCAGTCTCCCGCGTCCAGTTCGTGGTATATTTCTAACACTGACGATTACCTGGTTAAGAGTAGCTGTGTAATGCGCATTTGCTGTTGATTTAGTTTAGTTATTTAGAGTTGAAGATAACGTGTGCTGTAATAACCGTGCTGTAGATATTGTATGTTCATCAGTGATCAAAAATTATGTTAATATGCATATATACATGCCACTCAGTCTGTCAGTGCCCTCTTAGAGTGTATACAAGGGATAGAGTATTACTATTCCAACTTACAAAATATTGAAATTACTCGATTACTTGGCGAGTTCCTCAATTAATAATGTTAACAGATCTTCACGTTTACTTGTATTTATGTCCGTGTTAATTATTGTTCTCTTGCTGCCTCAGGTCCTGTTGTGTCTGGTGAACCTCATAGCTTTCACTACAGCGGCCCCAAGCGACCCTGTAACACGGCAGTACCCTGGCTCTACGGTCGACACCCCGTCCCTTGCCAGGTCACGCTGTCAGGAATACAGAATCGCCACCGGAGAGACATCCATTTCCACCGCAGGATCGCCGAAGAAGTCCGTCGCCAGTCCCCAGAATCTCTTCTTGGCCGCGAACGTCAGGTTTAAAAGCAACCCTAATCGCGATGACTCTTGGTCCACATACACGCTGAGCACCCGCGACATCATCAAGTTCACAGTTGGGTTCTTGCCCGCCCTGACGAAGGCCCTGACGAAGGACAACAACGCCACGGCGGCTGAAAAGATGCGAGACATCATCCTGTCCTTCCTGCCCCTGGCCCGGGGAGTGGTGGAGGACAGGTCCATTGGAGGTCCACGTAGCAACCAGATGAATGAACTGGAGAACGCCGAGGAACTTGTCCCAGCAGTCTTGAATTACGTCGTCAGTATTGTAGACACTTTCGACGTTCCCACCTCACCCCCCCCCCTCCTCAGGGGACCCTTGGGTGACTTCTTTGAGTTCGATGACGACGACTTCGCCCCCAACATTCCCAAAATTGAGATTGTAGATTAAACAAAATACCAGAGAAGTGAGCGACCTTGGCCGACACCGCCTATCACCATAAAAAAATGTACCTGCATACACAATTTTAATAAATGTAAATAATATTGTCAATGAATAATGATTAACTTAATGATCTCTCTTGACTATCGATCTCCCCAACTAGTGTACTTATTCTATATATGTACGAAAGTGTAATGTATTGTATCAGGGGAGACTAGTCAATAAAATATTCCTCCATTCATATTCTTTTTCATACATTAGTAGCCACAGCAAAGGCAGAAACAAATAAAGCACACCACTACCAATACCAGCTAAGAGTTTTTATGATTCTCAAGAAAAGATACAAACACTGTGCTTGTTGTATTTTAGTCTTTAGGTCTCAATAATGGTTTTTACCTCATGATATTCAGTGTGCGATCAGATGTGGCGACTTACGAGGTTCGCTAAAATTCTGCTGTCTCTGAACCTAATCTAAAGTAACGTATCCTAACCTAACTTTGCCTAACTTACCTTGTTTAGATTAACAGTTCTATACTAACCTAACCTAACATACCTCAAACATAACCACAAAGTACCCAACCGTCAAACACAAACCTGTAGCTTAAATTGGTACCTCCATCAACATAACCACAAAGTAACCAACCGTCAAACACAAACCTGTAGCTTAAATTGGTACCTCCATCAACATAACCACAAAGTAACCAACCGTCAAACACAAACCTGTAGCTTAAATTGGTACCTCCATCAACATAACCACAAAGTAACCAACCGTCAAACACAAACCTGTAGCTTAAATTGGTACCTCCATCAACATAACCACAAAGTAACCAACCGTCAAACACAAACCTGTAGCTTAAATTGGTACCTCCATCAACATAACCACAAAGTAACCAACCGTCAAACACAAACCTGTAGCTTAAATTGGTACCTCCATCAACATAACCACAAAGTAACCAACCGTCAAACACAAACCTGTAGCTTAAATTGGTACCTCCATCAACATAACCACAAAGTAACCAACCGTCAAACACAAACCTGTAGCTTAAATTGGTACCTCCATCAACATAACCACAAAGTAACCAACGTCAAACACAAACCTGCAGCAAATTGGTACCTCCATCAACATAACCACAAAGTAACCAACAGTCAAACACAAACCTGTAGCTTAATTGGTACCTCCGTCAACATAACCACAAGTAACCAACCGTCAAACACAAACCTGCAGCTTAAATTGGTACTATCGTCAACATAACCAGTAACCAACCGTCAAACACAAACCTGCAGCTTAATTGGTACCTCCATCAACATAACCACAAAGTAACAACCGTCAAACACAAACTCAGCTTAAATTGGTACCTCCGTCACATAACCACAAAGTAACCAACCGTCAAACACAAACCTGCAGCTTAAATTGGTACCTCCGTCAACATAACCACAAAGTAACCAACCGTCAACACAAACCTGTAGCTTAAATTGGTACCTCCGTCAACATAACCACAAGTAACCAACCGTCAAACACAAACCTGTAGCTTAATTGGTACCTCCGTCAACATAACCACAAAGTAACCAACCGTCAAACACAAACCTGCAGCTTAAATTGGTACCTCCGTCAACATAACCACAGTAACCACAGTCAAACACAAACCCAGGCTTAAATTGGTACCTCCGTCAACATAACACAAAGTAACCAACCGTCAAACACAAACCTGCAGCTTAAATTTACTCCGTCAACATAACAAAGTACCCAACCGTCAAACACAAACCTGTAGCTTAAATTGGTACCTCCGTCAACATAACCACAAAGTAACCAACCGTCAAACACAAACCTGCAGCTTAAATTGGTACCTCCGTCAACATAACCACAAAGTACCCAACCGTCAATCCACAAACCTGCAGCTTAAATTGGTACCTCCGTCAACATAACCACAAAGTAACCAACCGTTAAACACAAACCTGACGCCCCGGGTAAAATATTTCACCACAATGTTTGAACTTACACCAACAGTCCTGAGGTCGTACAGGTTGTGGGCAAGACACCGAGTCAGGTACGCTCAAAATGTGATATAGATCGATCGGAATTCATCAGGAGATAAAAGACAAAACTATAGATACGTAAACTGACAAATATAAGTATGTGATTTAAATTAATATAGAATGACAAATGGATAGGAATACAATTAAGGAAATCACAGGTATATATATACACGCACTCGCACACTATATAGTCGAGATAGTGCACAACCATTCCTAAACCACCCGCCCCACACTACAAAATTTCAGCTCTATTCAAAACTGTGGAAATTCGTCAGGAACATACAGACAGACACACACACACACATACAAAAGGCATCATAGAATAAAAATTTGGTAGGGAGGTGCGTGTGGTCTATACCCAAGGGGGATGGTCCTGCAATATATCCTGTCCCTCTACCCAGACGAAGCCAGGTAACTCAGCTGAATTATACAGTACATAAGACACTCACATGACCTGGTTTAAAAATAATAAAAAAGGGGCCATTGATACCCGACGTACGGGAAGGTCTACTTACACGTAAATGTCAAATCATCACAAAAACAGCTCTGACACATTTTATTAACTTCCTGGGTTATCTCTTAACCTCGAAAAATGCCTCCTAACCATCTATATAACCTGATCAGTCATTCAGTCAATAAAAACAACATCTCGGAAGCATTCAACAAAAAATAACACAGCTTTACCAAGTCGGCAACAAGAGAGAGTTTACCTATAGACATGCGTAGTCACCCAGGGTCTTTTTTTATCACCTAGAGGTAATTCAACTCCTCCCCTCTTATGCCTGGGTGTTGAAAATTAATGTTTTTATCAACTCAACTCACGCTGGGGTACCAATTTATCCTCTTTATTACTTTAACTAATTATCTGTCCATTATCTCTACTCTCCCTTGGTTAGTGTGAGGGAGGAGAGCGAGGTAATGGTAGAGGTGTCACACACACACACACACACACACACGCAAGATTATTCTCTCCCCTTCCTACTCCACATATCAAGAAGCGCTCAACACACTGACCCTTTCGACTCTCACTGACCATCACCACGACCTCATCTGCAAATTTGGTAGGCTTCTACACCATCCTCGACACCGGCTCTACCACCTGAGATCCCTAGCCCGAGAATTGCTGTTCGACACCACAACGCATCCAGCCCGTACATATGAACTGATCGCTATAAGAACAGCCCAGTCCCAACCATTGTAAAATTATCAATAACTTGTAATAAACCAGTGTATTCACTCCCAGTAAATACTACTTTGCACTGTCACTATGTTGAAATGCACTGTAGTTTGAGCTTTTCCCCATCTAGTTATTATATATCTTATTTGTATCACTTATGTTATTGTATATTATTTGTAATTCGAAACCCATTCCCCAAATATGTCACTGTATATTTTCAGCATTCTGGCTGCCAAGCTCTTTCAATAAACCGTTAATTATTATTTATTATTATTTACACTTCATATCCCGAGTTAATATCAAGAGTATACAGAGTCAGTCCTTAACGCCAATACTGACATAATGTTGTGAGTCTATGAAGAAATTGTAGTAACTGTTTACATGACCAGGGAAGAGAAGGCAGCGTTTTAATGTTCAATTCTCATCTTAGTATAGTTTTCATCAAAGTCTCATGTTTACAAATCGAGCAAGACTTATTTCCTCTAAGCATGAAACGTCACCAATTAGAAACAAGAAAAACGAAAGTCCATTAATACACTCAAACCTTATGGACAGCTGAACCCAGAAGAGATGAGAAAAGAGTAAACGGTGAAAAAATAATTCTAGATAATCTTTCCTCTCCAGCGGAAAATTAGGATTGAAAACACACAAAAAAAATAATAACGACAACCTTTAAGGTCACCTAAATCTTGAGGCATTAAAGAAGGTGAGAAGGGAAGGGAAGGTGGAGTTCCTCAGGGACTGTATCCACCCCTCAGTTACTTTCTCCTCTCTACTTCCATTGTCACAACACCCGACGGAGCTCCTGTCATTATTACTAACCACTCAACCGGGACCATGCCCTTAACCACTCTATCCCACATAGTCACTACCCCATACCTACACACCCTGCTCCACCCTTATAAACCTGTTTTATCCTCCTCTCTTCCATCTATTCCCCCTCCGCTACTATCACCATCACTCTAGACATACAAAATCATACTTGTAGTCTCACTGAAGGTCGCCTCCCGTTGACACACACCATCAGTGGACACAGTTGATGCCTCTAAGCCACCAACTCACCTCATCACGTAAATTCATGAGTTTCCAGCTACATCCTTCAGCTCCCATACCTTGCCTCCCCAGGGCCTTAAATAACCCACCCTCACAAACACCCTCTCTCCTCGCTCACCCTTTCCCTCTCAAGCCCACATGCCACCTTTCTAGCACATACATTCTCCCCGGCCCACATATTCCCCTAACCCTCCCCCAAATTCCTTCCTTCCCTGCCATATATAGTCCCTTCCTGCCCACAACTCCCTGTCCCCCACATTCCCTCCCCCACTCCCCCCACAATCCCCCCCTCTGGTTCACACATTCCCTCCCCCAACAACTCCACCCTCCCCTGCCCGCACATTCCTCCCCAGCCCACACATCCTTCCTCCCCATTCCCTCCCCTAGGTGCAATTGTTATCCCCATACAAATTGGTTTCTGCATGACCGCTGCCTCCCAATCCCCTGACACGAGAGATCACCACACCACCATCACCACACCACCACCACTACACCACCATCATAACACCACCAACACCATCACCACATCACACCACCACCAACACTCACCACCAACACCACTACCACATCACACCACTCACCAACACTATCACCACACCACCATCACCACACCAACACCACCACTACACCACCATCACAACAATTAAACACCACCACCACCACCACCAACACCACTACCATCACACCACCATCACACCACCACCACCACCACCACGACCACTATAATCATCGTACTTAAGTCTAGTAAGTAGCCTATCTGTTTGGAAGGGAAAAATAATTAATAATAATCAGATGAATTATAGAGACCAAACGTACAGTAGACAGGACGGAACAAATTAAGAAATTAAATGGGCGTAT